GGGAAAAAAGAAGAATGCTATATAAGCCTGTGCCAGAACAGCTTCTATCCTTTGCTAGATTTTTTACTTTTTCTACATCGCCTGTCCCCTCGCAAATTGCAATACCGATTCCAATTTTTTTTTCTTCTTTTACCTCATATTCGAGTTCTCAATTCTGAATAAGCATTCTTTCCTCAGAGGCGAATCCGTGAAGATGGCCCTTATAAAATCTTCCACCTGCAAATGAGAAAACCCAGTAGCAATTAGCAAGAGAAAAGAAAAATGAGAGAAAAATAATTTCTCTTCCATTCTTATAACAATTCCATTCACTCGATGGCATTGTTTAGTGATGCATTGGTATACATAATGGTGTTGGGGATGGATTTACAAAGTAAAAAATTTCCATACCTCGGATGATGTTAGATTGCAGTCAGAAAGTTCGCCACTCTCCCATGCCTCAGTAATCGACTTCAAAGGCATGTCCAGAAGTTCTAACGGAAGAGGCAAAAAAAATTCTAATTAAGGTCTGATGTGAAATGAACAAAACTATCTACAAATACACCTAGAGGTTCAGCGTGCAATCATTCTATATCTTTTTAAATGACAATTTTTGTGTGTTATTGTGTACCTGTCAAGAGTGCTGAAATTGTACAACACAAAACCGAAAAGAAAAGAGAAAACTCGTGGATTTTTTTTAAAAGAGAAACTGCGCTTTTCTCTTAACTAGTTCAGAACTAAGGGGTAGATTTTATAGCCAAAAAAGGATAAGAAGAAAGAAAGCAAGTAGAATGGTACCTGCCAATTTTCTGAGCTTCCGAATGGATAATACAAAATAATCGGTGTCGTTCTGGCCCTCTTGTGACCTTCCTATGCGGTCAAAGGCCAAAAGGGGCTCCAATAAAGACGAGAGATGCTCAAATAGCAAATGGATCAGTCTTTGAAGCTGTAATAAACAGTGTGACCGAAAAAAAGATGCAGCTTAGCACTTTGAGAATTTTCAACTAAATTTTTGCATGCGTGCCCATGTTCTGTACCTGCAGAGTTTCTTCAGCTGCCATATCATCCAACAGAAGTATCTCTTTTGCAATTCTTGAGAATACAGATTCTAAAATCATGGTCATGCTCTTCTCGTAGATTGAAGGAAGTAAGAGAGGCTCCCAAATGATGTGCACTTTCTCAATAATGAACGCAACCTGAAAAAAATTAAGGTGTCTTGAAAATAAACTATGGCAAAAATGGAAAAGAGGAAGGAAATAGAAGCGATTGCATACCTGGTCTATACAAAACTTGGCTGATTCAAATTGTTTGATCTGGTGGGTATTTTGAAATCCATCAGCTCCATCAATAGCCTAGCAAAAAAAAAAAAAAAAAATTNAAAAAAAAAAAAAAATTCCAGCAGATCAGATTAAAAAACTAAGACCATGTAAAAATGTGTGCCCATATAATTTCCCACAAATATATGTACCTGATTCAAATTATGAAGGACAAGCTGAATTTGTCTCTTCAAAACATCTTCAGCCATGAGCTGGAATCTGGGAGCCAAATCAACAAATATCACATGTTCTTTCACAGAACTGGGAAAGTATGGGCGATACTGTGACATTACAGAAGAGCCATTAGGATATATAAAAAGAAAATTACATGTTCTTAAAACATATAATAGCAAGTCTTATTTCCAAACAATCCTTCAGATACGAGTCAAGATTATGAACAGTTACATGTGTGTCTAGATTATGAAGAATTCCTCACATAAATAATAATAATAATAATAATAATAATAATAATAATAATAATAATAATAATAATAAAAATAATAATAATAATAATAATAATAATAATAATAATAATAATAATTTAAAAACAAAAAGAATCAAGTTCCTCTAGTCAAATGACAGCAGCAGACTGCCAATGCCGAACAATAACATGGAGAATTTCTCACGTAGTCTTGTGATAGTAGAGTCAAAGGAAGATGTAGTTCGAAACGAATTAGAAACCAAATTTCATATATTAGTATTCATCTTATTCTAATAAATAGACATAATTAAAGAGGCATCAACACCACATTCATGCATACCTCAAATGCAAACCCAAGAATCTCCTGAGATAGGTAGAGGCAGTCATTGTGAATCAGAACAGCAGCCTGGTTGATGGAATCCAGCTGTCTTTGAAGCTTCAAGAATTCAAGAAAGAGTGTCACAAAATTACCATGTCTATATAGAAACTCGTGCAGCATCTATAGGATTCTCAAATGATGAACTGAAAAGTTAAATAAATGCAGAATAGTAACTGCCTAAAACAAATATAAAAAGTCCATAAACTTTTAATCACATGCATTCTCCACCAACCTTCACAGGTATGATAGCTTCATAAAGAACTAAAGCTTTTCTAGCAGCGTGATAGAATTCCAATCCAACTTTTGGAGGTAACAAACATACATCCTGCATAAACCATCCCAAAGAAAATAAGCTATACAGAGCACACACACACACACACGCATGGAGAGAACCAATGTACTTAGCTCAGGAAAAGAAATGAGAAGCTGTATTTTATAAAGTTTCTTTCGACATCTTCCTTCTAAAGGTTAGGGATCCCTAGTCCCTAAAACCAGCTGAATCCGAAGCAAAACAAGACATTCTCACAGAGACTCAATTTGTGGTTTTAATTTTATAAGACTTGTACTCTACAACTGCACCAGAAAATAGGTGCTGCATTGCACACAGTTAACTGACCTTGAGAGTTTGATGCACAAGCTCCATTAGCTGTTTGGCTGCCTCAGACACCACACATTTCTCAGATGAGAAGAGTAGAACAGCATGATTAGAGATATCTCCAGCATGTTGTTCCTTATGGACCCCTGAAATTTTCATAACAAAGTCCTGCAGGAAACATTGTAGGTTAACTGACAAACACAAAATATCAGAAGAGCTCTGAATCTAGATTGTATACTCACTTGAGGAAGACTGAAATTAGATTGCAGAAGCATATTTCTGGCCTTAGACAGAATCTGAACTTTCTTTCGTGATGCAAAGTGAATCTCAACATTGTCGGCAAATCTGCTCAGCTTCTCATCCTTGATGTCAGATGGGGATATGAACCCAAGTCCCTTTAGAGCTGCCTCGAAATCAATTGTTAGTTTCCTGACCTCTTGGAACTCAGCCAGCTTGGAAGCATCATCGGGCACAACCTGAATTCAAAGTGGATGGTACTGTGACTACCAAACATGTGAAAGTGATAATTTTTACATTTGTAAAACTTTGAAATTTGTTTACCAAACATGTACCAATGCAAACAGCATGTATATTTTTCAACAGTTCTTCAGAGAATACCTATCATTGACATTTACAAGAAACTGCAAAATAACAATGACAGACCTTGGAAAGAAAATTGGAAATAATCATATCTGACATCCGTGGCCAAGTCAATCTTCCGAAACAGCACATCCAAGAACTATTTTGAAAGACTAAGAACTTGTTAACAAACTCAACGATCTGAAGAATGCTGGAGTACATAATTTCACCATTCACCTTGTTACCCTGCAGTACAAAGAAGATTGGAGTACATGGAAATATAAGAATTTCAAAACTATGAGCGAATGGTCTGCTATTCAACAACATACTTTGATGTACGAACAAGCTAGATATAAGAGAAAAGTAATTACGCATGCCATATTCCTAACACGTACTCCAGGATCAACAGAAGGAACCACTTTAAACACTGCCTCTGGGGCATTGCCCGAGTCCTGATTGATTTCTTCTATATATGGAGTCGCAGTACAACTCACTAGTGGAGTAAGGACATATTTAATAATCAAATCTGCAACTTTAGCAAGCCCATAATCGAGTATGCCAGCAACCTACATAAGCAGTATGTGCAATACTCATACTCATGGAATAAGTAGAGAGGGAACTAAAATGTTCCGTTAATCAGCATTACATATCAATAGATACAAAATTAAAGATAACTCACATCCAGTGCTTTCAAAACAGTGTATAGCTCTAGCCCATCAATCCCATTCACACTTATCTGATGCTTAATATGCAGTGCATTATCTCCCTGCTCAATTTTCACTGCTTTCTCCATAAACCTCAAAAGCAGCTCTTGAATCTACATCCAAATTGAATGGATCTAAAAAAGCAATCATAAATTTCAATAAAATAATCATGCCGTGACTAAGATAGACCCAGAACAAAAGTACATCTAAACTTAACTACAGCAACACGCCGAAAAATGATGCATACACGACACAAGTAATCTGTGTAAGATAGAAGTACATCTATATGCTCATTCATTAACACAAAATACAATAAGCTCTTCGCATAATATCACGTTGTAGAATTATACCCTAACACATAATCCCTTAACTGATACGAAAATAAAATTTGAGCTAGCACCATGTCGATATTACTATACAAGTAAAAATGGAAAATAAAAAATGATAACGAAAGCAAAATAAATTAGCTTTAAAACCTCCTCAAAACAGTCCGTCCATTGCCTTTTGAGAATACCATACACCTCCGGCTCACCTTCGGCTGCCACCTCAGCATCGCTGCCGCCCCTAACTCCAATGGCAATCTTCAGCTCCCTCAGTCCATCCGCCGCCTCAACCACCCTGCCACTTTTCACATCATCTCTAACCACCCCAAACTTTCTATCTAATTCCCAAACGACCCCGACAAACTGCAGAACCTCCCTCTTCTCCCTCGCCTCCAGCCTCTTCTCCACAATCTTCCGAACGATCCTTCCGACATCCGCCTCGATTGGCTGATCGCATATCAGCTTGAGCAGCGCTACGACGTCTTCCGATAGACGCTCCGACCTGGAAACGACGTCGGAGCACTGGGAGAACAGGGAGGCGAATTCGTCGTGGTGCGCGAGGAGGTACGATTGGACGGTGGATTTGATCCTCAGCGAGTGGGCGTCGAGGCGAGATATGAGGAGGCGAAGATCCGGCGCCGATAGCGGCGAGGAGGTGGATTCCGGCGAGGAAAGAAGATCCTGGACGTTGATTGTATCGAAGAGGACGTCCATCAGGAGAGTCCACTGAGTCGACGGTGGGGAAGTCCGCAGCCGATAACTGTGAGTGGGTTTTCAGTGATTTAGGAATATTTGCACTTTGAGACCCCAAAGCCAAAGCACGTGGTAATTTATTTACTTTTATACCCCGTAAATTAAGAAAGGTAACCAAATTTACCCCTTGATTATTTTAAAGAAAAACAAAAGAACAGAAGAAAATTTTACCCTATTTCTAAAAATTTTATCTAGTTACACTTTCCCCTCAAGTTTTATTTACTATATTGGTAATTAGTAATGCTTATTAAAGTATAAAATCAAGATAGTTTCACAATCATGACTCGATTACCAACCAAACGAGTCAGAATCAAAATTGATAATCAAATCTAGATAAGAGTGAGCGAGAGAGTCAAGTTATGATTGATAAGGGTGAGCAAAATCGTACCGAAAGCCTAATGCGTTCGATGCAGTGAAGGTTCGATTTTTAAAAGATTCGATTTGCGATGCAGTTCGATTTTGAGTATGAACAGTGTGGTTTTAACCAAATTGCACTGAATTCGATGTGTCAAATAAAATTGTTAGTATATTACCTTAAACTCCTAAAGTCTTACACGATTTTTCATTCATAATTAATTAAGTTTAAAGTTTAAACATAAAAAAACAATTTAGTTAACTTTGATTTATGTTTAGCTTAGAGTTTGATTTGTATGGTTTTAACTTTGATTTGTGTTTTCGCATTTTTTAAATTCCGGTTAACCGAAAAACGAACCACACCAAATCGAAAATTTTAATTTTATTTAGTTTGGTTTTTTATTTTTTTGCGGTGCAGTTCGGTGTACAAATTTTTAGATTTTCGATTTTTATTTTTTTGCGGTGCAGTGCGGTTTTTTACCAAACCGCACTGATGTTTACCCCTAGTGCGTGGTGCGAACTCGATTTCAATTTCACTATGATTCTTTTTTTATACCGCACCCAGTTATAATTATTATTTTTTGCAATTCCGTCTTTGTAGGTGTAGGTTTGCCCTGAACCTCACTATATTAAGTATAAATTGATTAAAAAAAAAATCAAGCAGAATCGTGCATTTCGTAGGTTCAGTTTTTTTAATGTAAAAACAATTGTTCAATTTTGGTTCCGGTTTTTCTATATCATGGTGCTATTCAATTAATTATTTTATAGGTTCCGTTTTTTACTTTCATTTTCCGAATTCGTAAGGTTTTGTACCGAACCTCACAATTACTCGCCCCTAGGCAGACTTAATTTTCCAACCGTTGCTCGAGCTCGACCAACTGAACATTTTAGGTTCGACTTGTCTAGACAAACTTACCCAAACGCCCGAAATCAACTCAAATTTGCTTGAGTTCACCTCAAAATTTCAACAAAATATGTCTTCAGTGTAATTACAGAAGTGAACTCGCAATCAAAATCCTCAAACTCAAGTCAATCGTAGACTCAAGCGCTAGCAAGCCGTTCCACCCTAGTTTATTTGCATTCATAACTCGGACTAAAGTTCTAATGGAACCTAGTGCCCTCGTGATTAGTCATCACATTCGGTCAACTAATCTTATTAATACTTTCTTTGAGAAGTATTACAATTAACCTATACACACCCTTTCTTGAGTATCTTAATCAATTGATATTTATGAAATTAATATCCAATATAAATAAATTAGGTGGTGGATTCATTTGATTAAGCTGAAAGTATTTATGATCCAATATTGCCCACCGAAAAAGTAAGAAAGCATTATTGTTCCCAGCAGTAGGTTGCGTGTCCACATACATTCATGTTTGCAATATGTTCACAGGTGGCAAGTTTTGAGCAAATATATGGCCTTCGCATTTATGACTCAACTAAAACTGCAGCTGCTCGTTAGATCTTGATTTGATAGTTTTAAGGAGCATAATTTATGTTTTGTTGCATATACAAGTTTAAGTTTGATCGAGTTCGAGTTGCTAAGAATTCAAACTCGAGTCTGGATGTGAATGAACTTGAGTGCTTGACGAGTCACTCGACTGTAAATGATTTTTCTCAAAATACCTATTGTACGTGTTAAATTTGACTAAACTAGAGCTAAATTTGAGAAAAAATCTTATTTAAAAAGAAAATTATTGAAAATTCAAACTAGTTAGCGGATTTGACAGGTTCAAACCTTGAGTGAAGTTCAATCCATTACTCTTACATCAATCTGCTAATATCCAAACTGAATCCATATAAATAAAACAAGCAAATATCACATTATTCCTCTAGAAAATACAGAGAACACTATTCTTCTAGGAGAATACAGGGAAACACTACATAAACTCTTCTTTCAGTATGGAACAAGGATTGAAAGCAAAATACATATACTAATTCTGAATATGATTATATAGAAACGTAGCCACTACTTGCTGCTGGAGATATACATCAACAAATAGCCTGATACAGAACACAAATAATTAATAACAAATAAGAGTAGCAAACATTTCATAAAAATTCATGCAAGCTATGGCTCAGCAGGTAATCCACAATAACCCGACTCATTTTCTCCGTTGGATGGAAAGAATCCCAGAATACGTATTTATTTGCATCCGAACACGTGAACGGATTCATTTGATCACACATGTATCCCATCTCAAACATCCCCGATGCACAGCATGCAACTGAGGCGACTTCAAACCCTGTCCAAATTTCCCAAAAATGAAAAGAAGTTGGCATTTACAAGGTTTATCCAAATGGGACATGGAGTTTAGTGTAATCCTTAACTCTTGCAACAATTTATGCCACGTTTATAAGTGAATTTCGAGCTTATAATTGATAGCTTATGACTTATAGCTCTTATATGATAAAAGTGTTTGATAAAATTAGTTGAAATAAAAATTTCAATGAGCTTATTTGAAAAGTTACCTAATGAAGCTTATGAAATAAACTCGAGCTTTTGTCATACCAAACCAAACTTTGAATAAGCTATAAGCTAGTTTATGTCCTTCCCAAACACTGCATTACTTTCACATTCGTAAACGAAATAGCTGCAATAAATAAATAATATGCGCAGAATCAAAATGTAATGGCAGGCGGACATACCAAATGCCGAGGGCTTGTGAATGATTCCCATAAAAACATTGTAAGGATTGGAAAAAACGAGCCTAATCCCGGGCATATCCTCGTTGGCCTTCTTCACCAAATCACTCAGCTTCTCGTTAAAATGCAGGGCAACGGCATTGTACCCGTCCATGCATCCATCCCCGTTACCATTGACGAAATTCGTGGTCCTCTCTAGCGGCAGGCAACCCATAGGGGGCAGCCCGGTAAGGGAAATCTTTCGGGCCCCCAGCCGATATATGTCCCTCACGAATTTCTCAGCAAGCCCAATAAGGAAGTCTTGGAACTGGTCAACTGTGTACTTGGAGCGTGTGCTCGGAAGAGTGTAGTAGTTCTCGAGAAAGTCGTTTGTGCCTAAGCTGATGATGTAGAGAGACTCGCTGATTATCGAGTCAGCTTTCGCGTTGCCTGCGTGGGCCCGGAGTTTGTTCTGGTAATCCTTGAAGTAATCCAACTCCTTCCAAAGTGGGATCACACTCTGCAACCGAAAAAAAATGTGCAGAAATTTAAATTGATCATCAGTTTAATTTGAATTTGATTTGTTAATTTCATAATGTGTTTGTGAATAAAGATTGTACTATCAACTTTTTCAGTTATTTGGTGTGACACTATCTGTGTTTAGATTGATTTGAATGCTTTAAGCATGAATTATATCTTAGTTACAAATTTTTAAAATTTCGCTTATGAAGTATGGTTTATTCTACTAGTTTTTTTTTGTTCAAATGCTATCACATTAGAGAATTTGAACAATGTGTGTCACTGTCTCGATTGGTCATTTTAAACCTAAAAAATGTATACACAATTTAAATATTTATAAATTTGTCTCAGCATTATCACAAACTAATTTAACACAAATTCTTGAACGAGACGTCCTAAACATTAATTAGAACCCCTCATACATTTTGAATAAAAATACATATTTATTTAGGGTGTCACGTTTTTATTTGAAAATGATGCATAAAGCATTTTAATAAATATACATTCTTATGGCATGAAAATAATATACTTTTATTTATATTTTTATTTAGAGTGATTTGTGGGAAAACTAAATATTGCCTAATCACGATTTACTGTTTTCAATTAACACACAAAGAATGATAAATAATAAATCACATTGTATGAAACACTTACGAGCACATTAGAGGTGGCGTTATCAAAACCAGTCCCTGCCGACGCGAAGCAAACTCCCTCCGCAAAATCCGTGATATTGTACTGCGGGTCCAGGTACGCCGGCACGAACGGCCGCAGCCCAAACGCCTCCGATATGAAATCCGGCGGGATCCGCCCGTTGGAGAACCTCCCCGTCGGCCGTCCGCCGAAGAAATCGCGGCCGTACGGGCGGAAATTGCTCTTCAGCACCGTTGAGATCTGGTTGTTGTTCCCAGCATCTACCGAGGAGTCGCCGAACACGATCACCGCCGGGACCTTCGCCGCGGAGGCGGCGGCGAACGCGAATAGGATCAGAAATGCAGCTGGCGTGGCGGAGTAGGACATTTTTGTGGTTGCTGGCCGTGTGATTTTTGGGAGGTTTATATAAATTTGTTTGTGCGGAAAGGGGGAAAAGTTTGTTGGGAGGTGATGAATAAATGTTTTTGAATTTTTTGGTTTTGTTGGGGTGTGTTGGGGCGTTGAGAGGAGCTTTAATTGCCATTAATGAGGAAGCTTTACTGTGAATCTGTGATGTGTCCATGGATTTACAGTGAGAAGTAGGAAATGTGTGCACTCTGTGCTCTGGCGGCCTCTGCTGTTACAATATCTCATGAAAATGATAAATGTCTTGAAGTTAGTAAAAATCAATTATTTTGGATGCAAAAGTTCATTTGGTAAATAAATCATGTTTTGTGATAAATTTAAAATAGATTTATGAATAAGTTGGTTTTTCAAAAATCTATAAAACCTAAGTCATTAATTGATACTTTTGTAAAAATCGATTTTATGGAAGCCAATTTAATAAATGGACTTTTACAGAATTTAATGTACCCAAACAAGCACATAATATCCTCTATTTTTGTAAATATATATTGAGATTATGGGTAATAGTTTATATCAGAACAAATAAATTAAAAAAATAATAAATATTAAAAAAAAACCGTACGACAATCGGTTCGATTCAAAACCGAAACCGACGGTTCAAATTGTAAAAAATTATGAACCTAAACTGACCTTAGTACAACCATGAGTCCGATCATTGCCCGTAGTCAACTAGGGGCCAGCTCTGCCTCGTGTGCATGTCTAATTTAAGGTGACAGAGTAAGCAACGGTGGTCGAGGACCTGTCAGTTGAATTCCAACAATTCTTAACCACGATATCATTTATAATTAATGTTTTTCCAAAAAAATTAAAATTACTAGCCATTAACGAAATCACTAATCAAAGTGCGCTTCGAGCTAATTTTTAAGTGAATTTTGAAGTTGTAACTGATAGCTTATAATTTATGTTCTGAAAAATTAGCTTATATGATAATAGTATGATAAAATTAGCTGAAACAAAATTTCAATAAACTTATTTGAAAAGCTACCTAATGAAACTTATAAAATAAGCCCCAGCTCGTCCTACCAAACTAAATTTATTTGAAACAATAAGCTTATAAGCTGACCAATCACGTCTTGTCACAATCTCAAATCAGTGATTTTATAAAGAACAACAAAATAAATTGATAGTGACATACTCAATATAGTTTACATTAACACCTGCATTTTGTAATTTAACCTGAAAGGGAGGCCATTAACTTCATCATATGGTATTTTCAGTATTGTTTTCAATGAACTGGTCCCTTGAGTAATAGCACATTTTTATAGTAACATCATTATTGTTACTTCTTCAACAAAATTGTATAGTTTTATATTGTAATGCGGTACTGTATATACAAAACAACATAGAACAAATTTCATAATATAACTAGTAAATTCGTTATATATACATGGCTAGTCCCTCGCCAATGATATGGGAGACCATTAATTCAGTCCACAAACTTATTAGATATGGAAAATGGAACCTACTACGAACTACTTTTCATAATATGCAATAACTAAAAATGCTAAACCATACAACTCCATTAAAAAAACCATTATGTCCCTTTTATGTGCACTAATAATTGTTTGATTTTTTTATTTTATTTTTGACAAAAGTACGATATTAAAATTATACATAAATTATTTATAAACGAGTTACAAATAAAAAATAGTACAATATAAGACTAAAATACAAATATAAATTATAAATCAACCATCTTTCTGTGAAAGTTAGTATATTTTGCATTTTTATTTTTATATACTCTTATATTTACAAAGAATTCTGACTCCTCAACAAAATAATTGTAAGGTTGTCCTAAATTACTCATTTTAGTCCATTAGAAACATATCAACAGATGATGAGATGAACTCATCCAGAATTAAACACAAC